GGCAAAAAAAAAAAGAGACAAAAAAGCATAAAAAAGAAAAAAAAATAGAAGGGGCAATCCGGCTACCCGGGAGGAGATAGCTAGGAACCCTGACCCACCCCTCACCCCACCCTTTCGAGCCAAAGAAGACGACGGACACTGCAAGACAACGGACGGACCAACAATGAAGACGGACGACAGAACCGGGCCCAAATACAGGACGCTGTGGTGGCCCGTAAGCCACAAATACCTACCTACCTACCAGCCACATACCAAGAGCGGGTCTCCGCCACGACGCGATCCTTACGTCAAGCTACAAGCTTCAAGCTCAACCAACCTTCTTCCGCTTTGCCGGGCTGCAACAGAACGGGGCCGGTTTGGCACGTTCTGTTGCCTTTTTCCTGACACCTGTCAGTCCTTCCGCCGCTGCGGGCAGCTTCGGAGTGGGGCCGGTTCGGCACGCTCCGGGGCACTAGCATCGTTTTCCTCGACACCCTCGAGGCCTTCCGCTGTTGCGGGCAGCACCGGAGCGGGGCCGGATCGGCGCGCTTCGGTGCATCTCTTCAAGTCCTACTAGCTCCTGTCACCTCTTCACCGTCCGTGTGAAGACCTGTGTCCTGTACCGTCATCAACTGGGTTCGTTCTGCACCGTCCGGAAGCTTTCCTCAAGATCTGCACCACTCCAAAATTCTCCACCGTCCGCGCCAGCTCTTCCAGTCTATCTTCAAAAACTGATGATAACGGCTGCCTTTTAAGGCTCCTGTTCTACCCCACAGATCTTGGCTCCCCTGTCCCACTGTGTCCCGGATTGACACAGCCCGCCCCCCTTAGATTCCACCCTTTAACTTTTGACGCGCCACCCTCCTGTAGGCCCCAACTCCAACTTTTAGACCGGGTTGACGAAATTGAATTTCTACTGTTATTTGGCACCAATCTGGTCCAAGGGATAGGGCTTATAAATACTGCCCCCTCCAAATAACAGTAAAGTCCCTTGGTAGGCCAACCATGTCCCGAACCCAAACCCCCGCGTCCCCCACCCTCCACCCACCCAGGGAAGTAACGCTGCTCCTACGGCGCAAGGACAGCCAGCCTATCACACTCCTCTCCCCTTGGGAGGTGGAGACATCTCTCACCACTGCTGAACACCCATCAATCAACGCCACCCTCTCGAAAGACAACAAAACGCTAACCATCACCACTAACGACAAGCACCATGCGCAGCACATCATGAACATCACCACGATCCAAAACACCGAAGTCACGATCACCACACCCAGCCCACCACGAGTCCAGGGGACCATCTGGGCCCCTGAACTCTCCACCCACGACACTGCATACATCCAGACAAAACTCGCCACCCAGCTCGTCACCGCCGTCTACCGACCACCGCGCGGACCACAAGCACTCCTCCATCTCACCTTCAACACGGACGAACTCCCACCACGCATCTTCGCCGGCTACCTGGCCTACCAGGTACGCCGGCTGATCCCAAGACCGCGGCGGTGCACGCACTGCCAGCGGTATGGCCACCTCGCGGCAGCCTGCCGTTCAGGGTTGGTCTGTGGCACGTGTGCTGGCGACCACGCCACAAACACCTGCACCAGCACACACAGGGAGTGCGCCGCATGCGGTGGCGGCCACGCCATCACGGCCAAGGCCTGCCCCAAGTGGCAGATGGAGTCTGAGATCTGCCGGCTCATCACCGTAGATCACAGGACGCTGTGGTGGCCCGTAAGCCACAAATACCTACCTACCTACCTAGCCACATACCCATACGTTTCGTGTTGAACAGTGTGTTGCACTCGAAGCGCCGCCATGCCACCGAAGACTAGCGGAAAGGCCGCAAAGAAGGCCGGCAAGGCCCAGAAGAATATCTCCAAGGGAGATAAGAAGCGTAAGCGCAAGAGGAAGGAATCGTACGGCATCTACATCTACAAGGTGCTGAAGCAGGTCCACCCCGACACCGGTATCTCGTCGAAGGCCATGAGCATCATGAACTCCTTTGTCAACGACATCTTCGAGCGCATTGCTGCCGAGGCCTCGCGTCTGGCGCACTACAACAAGCGCTCGACAATCACCTCTAGGGAGATTCAGACTGCTGTCCGCCTGCTCCTGCCCGGTGAGCTTGCCAAACATGCCGTGTCGGAGGGGACCAAGGCCGTCACCAAGTACACGAGCAGCAAGTAAGCTGGCTGGCCTGGCAGCCGGTGCCGGTCGACGCTCGCTTCATCTCATCACTGATCATCGCTCATCGCCTCCCATGCCGGCCGGTGCCGCTCCTAGCAGCACAAATAGGTCTTTTTCAAGACCAATAAATCAAATAGTGGACTTGCACCACAGATGATTACATCCGGGTCATTGTTGCAGCGGGTCGTCGGCTTCAAACAGACGCTGATCTGCACTTGTTTCGCACTTACCATGGTCGCTATCGAAATCGGAACAGAACCGCATGATAAGGGACGTAGCGGTGGCAGCTACTAGCGGCGTTTGAAATTTTGCCGTTTTTTAGGCGAACATGACGTCACTAAAACGTCATTTTCTCAAACTTTTTTTGACGGATTTCGCTCAAATTTTCAGGGAACGTGTATAATTGATGTGTAATAAGGTGCTGAAAGTTAAACGTCGCTGGCGTAACGCGTTTAGAAGTTATTGGCGAAAAACGGGAAGGGGGGGGGGGGCAGTTTCTGCCCTCCCCCAGCAGGTTAAGGAACAGTTTTGAATCGCTTCGATTCCATTTTTTTTTTTGCTCGGCCAGCCTAGCGCCAGTCTCGAGCGGTGGGACAGTTAACCCGGCAATTTTGACAGTTAACCCGGCAATTTTGGCCGGGATGCAAAAGTTACGTTAAACCGGTTTATGTTAAACCGGGAGCAAATAACAGCGTGGGAGCCTATCTTAGGTGTGGCAAAGCTAACGGAGTACTTACTTGTTGCCGAAGTGCCGAAAGAAGGCGCTGGAACCGAAAACACAACATTGGTTCATGTATTTATTAACATTCATACACACAGTCATACTTGTGTAAGGTGTCAGTGTTCGGTTGTGGGGTGTAATAGCCAGGGACAAAGTTCTATGAACTGAAAAACCCGGCGCCTATTGCAAAAGGAAAAACCCCGCGCTGAAGCCAAAATAGCGCGGGGAAAAAACCCTGTATCGTTTAAGCTAATGTGTAGGAGGGTGACGAAGAGGGAGATGGGAGACGGTTCCGCGCGGGAGGGACACCCGGGGTCGCCTAGCAGCAAACGCTTCAGCCCCCAGTCGGTGTTGGCGCTGCGACGGTTGTTGGCACGGGGCCTTTACCGGAGCGCGCAATATGTCTGTGCAAGGAGGGATAAGAAAAGGGACAGGGAGGTGACTCCGCGCGAGAAGGGCGCCCGGAGGCCAAGCAGGAAAAGCTAAGCCCCCAGTCGGTGTTGACGCTCAACGATCTCGGCCCAATCGACCTGATCGGAGCGCGCAATGTGGAGTCACCTAAGTGTTCGCGGTGCCGCGCCTCCGCCGCCGTTAGCGCGCGTGTAAATCACAGGTGATTAGGCCAGATCGACGATTCAACGGAGCAATTAGTGCGAATGAGAAGCGGTGGGGGAACAACATCGAACGATAATCACAAAAATCACAAGAACATCAACAGCAAGAATGAAAGATCAATCATTAGCACGTACAATCAACGGCGCGGCGGAGAGAAAATGGCGGAGAAGAATGTAGGAGAGGAGGAAGTTTCTGGTACTAGGCCAGGCCGGGGGTTAAAGTTCGTGGAGAAGTTGCGCGTCCCTGAGAAATGCGAAGAGTTTTTCGAGGAGAAGTGGATGGTCGTCTCCCAGGAGAGTGGGGAGATCCAGATATCATCTGTGCTTAAAAAGACAAAAACGAGACGATTAGATGGCTCTGATAAGAGCCATTGACATGTGCCAGCGAAACGGTCAGGCACATCGTTCACTTCTTAGCCGGGGCCTTTTTGGCGGCAGGCTTTTTGGCAGCCGTCTTTTTGGGCTTCGGTGCCTTGGGCTTCTTCGCCGGCGACTTGGCCTTCTTAGCTTTGGTTTGCTTGGCCTTGGGCTTCTGGGCCTTGGCGGGAGACTTGGCGGTCTTCTTTTTGTCCGCCGACTTTTTGGCAGCAGTCTTCTTTGGTGTCTTTTTCGCGGCCACAGGCTTCTTAGGCGACTTTGCGGCGGGCTTGGCCGGCTTGGCAGCAGCGGAAGACAGCTTGAACGATCCGCTGGCACCCTTGCCTTTAGTCTGCACCAGGGCGCCGCTGGTGACGCCAGTCTTGAGAGCCTTTTTGATGAACGGCGCCAGCTTTTCAACGTCGACCTTGTAGTTTGCTGCAATGTACTTCTTGATGGCGATCAGCGACGAGCCTCCTCGCTCCTTCAGACCTTTGATGGCTCCCTGGACCATCTCGTTGGTGGGCGGGTGCGTCGGCTTGGTGCGAGGCACCTTTGCCTTGGCCGCCTTGGCGGCGCCAGCAGCAGGGGCGGTGGCAGCGGTAGACTCGGTCATCTTTTTCTGGCGTCAGGTATCGAAGCTTTTTTTTTTTTTTTTTTTTTTTTTTTTTTTTTTGTCCTCCCGGCAAGCCAAGTGGCTATAGCCGGGGGAAGGGGAAAGTTACTAGCTGGCAATTGGCCAGGTCTTTCGTTTACGTTACGTTAATGCCGGCTATTTGATTCCGGCCCAAGAACTAAGAGAAAGGCAAAAGACTACGTTAAACCGGCTCATGTGGCGTCCGGTGGGTTCAAAGCAAAGGGAAGGCCGAAAGGTGCCTGATGGGCGAGACAATAAATTTGGTTACTTACATAGAACTTGCTGCTGAGACTTGCTGCTGATTTGTGTGTTGTTGTTTGGTGTGTGTTGTTGTGGGGTGAACTTACCAGGAAAAGTCCTAACTAGAAAAAACCTGGTGCCTAACCAAGAGGGCAAAAACCTGTGCTTTCAGCCAAAGTACACAGTAAAAAAGCCCTTTCTTTAATTACGTTATATTACGTTACGTTATATCGCTAATGTGTATGTGTGTTTGTGGAGCTATCACCTTCATCCACTCCCGGGGGCCATGGATGCAAGCCACCTAGGCCGCGCCCGGGGTGTCCGGCCAGATAGCTTTTGTGTCTCGAGTGGGCCTCAACCTTTAAGAGGGATCCCTGTCGAGTTTACACACATATATAAATACACTTGGAAAAGGCGGAGAGAACGAAAGCGAATGGAAGCAAAACGAAGCGGATGGAGACGACGATGGAGGATCATAAGAACATCTATATACTGTGTGCTGGGTTGCGATCATATGCTATTGATGAGATTCGAATCACTGAGGAAGGTAAATAGAAGTTCAATTAGATCTGGATGATCATCACCCAGGAGTGTTGGGAGGTCCAGGCTGAGGTTGTGTGTGTTTGTGTAGTGAATGATGGGTTGACGGTATTGGTCGTAGTGTGGGCAGTTGAGAAGGAGGTGGGCAATGTTGAGTCGTGTTAGTGGTGTGCAATGTGGGCATGTGGGTGGGGGTTCGTGCTGGTAGATGTATCGGTGTGTGATACTGGTGTGTCCAATTCTCAGCCTGGCCAATACCGTTTCTCTAAGACGATTACTTTGATTGGAAGAAGCAAATGATTTGATTTTTGGGTGAATCGGGTGTAGATGTTGATTTGGAAAACTATTCCAGTCGAATTGGCGAAGGTCGAGAAGAGCATTTTGGATATGATTAGCAATATCTTTGTGCGGACAACGAAGTGTGTTTCTTTCCGGTTTGTCTAGGCTATTTTTCGCTAGGAGATCCGCCCTTGTGTTACCGGGAATCCCCGCGTGTCCTGGTATCCACAACAGGCGGAATTCAAATCCTTGTTTCTGAATTGTAATTATATGTTTCTTGATAATGTATATTATATGATTGTCTTCTTTTTTTCTGCTTGAGATGGCACTGACTGCCGAAGCTGAGTCAGTGCAAATTACGCTTTTTTGGATATGTTGCTTGTTGATATAGATAATAGCTAGCAGAATCGCTGATAGTTCAGCTGAAAAGACCGTAAAAAGATTATGCAGGCGAATGGAGTTTTCGTAGACTTTTGATGTGACACCAGCGCCTGTTTTGCCGTTTGATAGTGATCCGTCAGTATAAAAGAAAGTATGATCGTTGTATTGATTTACATATTGTATGAAGAGTTGAGAGATTTCTTGTGAGGAGATATGCTTCTTATTTTCTGAGAAAAGACGATCTACGTTCTGGATGGGTGCCAGCCAGAATGAGGTTAGAGGGGGGATAGGCAAAATGGACGGGAAAGAAATGTTGAAATGATTAAGAGCCTTTTCTACGCGATAACTGATCACTGGGAATCTCCTTTCAGGATCGCTTGGAGGAGACGAAGAATATCGATTTGTAAGTATTTGATTAGAGGGATTCGAGGGGTTCGCGCAGCAACGAAGATAAAAGCGGAGAAGAAGATATTTGCGTCGTCGATCAAGTGTAGGAATGTTGACATCAATGTGAAGATTGTCAATATTGGAAGTTTTCATTGCACCGGTGATGATACGAAGAGCGGTGTTCTGAATCACTTGGAGAGAATCAATTTTTTTAGTAGCTATATCATCGTATAAGAAACCGTTGTAATCCAGGATAGGACGAATTAGGGAGGTGTATAGACGGAGGAGGGTTCTCCGATCGGCTCCCCACTCCCTTCCGGCTATACATCTCATAATCGAAAGTCGTCTGGCGCATCGTTGTTGAATGTCTTCGAAGTGTTTACTAAAATTAAGCAAGGAATCAAGTGTTATGCCTAGATATTTGAAGTGTGAAACGAATTGAAGATTACAATTGTTGATTCTAAGGTTACGATGATTTGTTTTGGGGAGTCGTCTTGAAAAAATGACCGACTTTGATTTGTCTGATGAGAGGACGAGTCCCCATTGATTACACCATGTTTCTATGTTTTCAAGAACGTGTTGCATGATTGTTAGGCCTTGATCAAGATCACGATGAGAAACCCAAAAGGCTACGTCATCGGCGTAAAGAGAGTGTTGTATATTGCTAGGTGTGTTGTTGAAAAGGTCATTGATCATGATCAAAAAGAGAGTAGGAGAAATTACACTGCCCTGTGGGAGGCCATGATCTAGCGTAAAGAGTGGAGAGTAGGTGTGGCCACAACGGACTTTGAATGTTCGATTAGCAAGGAAGTTCTGTATAAAGTTCGCCATATGGCCGCGAATACCAGTTCGATGAAGTTTAATCAGAAGAGCGGATTTATTGACTTTGTCGAAGGCGTTTTTAAAATCAAGGAAGACTGCGATCGTGTATTCCCTTTTTTGAAATCCTCTTTGAATTGTGTCAATTATGTGAGTAACGCAATCAGCAGTTGACCGACCAGGTCGGAATCCGTTTTGGTAAGTGGAAAGAAGATTGTTTGATTCGAGATACGCCCTAATTCGTCCGTTAACCATTCTTTCTGTTAGTTTAGAGGCACAACTGGTGAGAGATATAGGTCGATAGTTAGAAGGGTTTGAGGGAAGTTTAGAAGGTTTGAGGATAGGGATAATGGTGCTTTCGCTCCAGGAAGCAGGATACGAATTGTTTTCCCAAAGGTGATTTAGAGTTTCCAGGAGGGTTTGCTGTCCAGATTCAGGGAGATTTTTGAGAAAAGCGTAGGCGACCTGATCTGGACCAACAGATGTGTTGCCACATCTGTTGAGTGCTGATTGTAGTTCATGTGCTGTGAATGGTGCATTGTATATTTCGGTGTTGTTGGAGTGAAATGAAAGGGAAGCAAGCTGGGAATCGAGTGTTGTGGTTAGTTGTGGAGTATACTGTTGTGCTGATGAAATGTTAGCATAATGTATGGCGAATTGTGTGGCTACTTCTAGTGGTGTGAGATAGTGGGTGTTGTTTATGTGTAGGTGTGGAATTTTATAATTTCGGGGTTGTTTGTTGGAGAAACATTTTATGAGAGACCATATTTGCGATAGGGGGGTAAAACGATTAAAGTTGTTCGAGAAAAGTTGCCAGCTCGATTGTTTTGCACTAAGAATAATTTTGCGGGAATGAGAACGAGCCTTACGCGCTTCCTCCTCATGAGCTGAGCATAGGCAGCGCCTAAAGGCGCGTAGTGCCCGCCTCCGGAGGGCGACCGCTCTCTGGCATTCACTGTTCCACCATGGAGCATTATTATAGGGGCGGGGAGGACCTGAAAGTGGGACTGATTTACGGGCGGCGTTAAGTATTATATCTAGAAAAGTGTTAATATCTCTAGGGGGAGTTTGGATGTTTACGTTAATATGGTTTTGATATTCAGCCCAATCGGCTTTGCGAAAGTTCCATCTGGGAAGAAAATTGAAGTTGGATTGTCCTGAAGGGACGTCAAGGGAATAATGAAGTGGGTAGTGATCGCTAAAAAGTGGGTCGTCCGCAGTATACTGTGTGAAGAGCAGTGCGGTGTTAGTGTCAGTGATGGCGAAGTCAATGACGGTGTGTGACGCGACGCCATTGTTGATGCGTGTACACGTGGGGACGCGATTTGTCAGTGGTATCAAATCAAGTGAGTCAATTACGTTTAACAGTTGTGTTCCGCGCGTGTCATTAAATGCACAACCCCACGACTGGTGGTAGGCGTTGAAGTCTCCCATCACAATGAATGGAGGGGAGATTTGGGAAAGCAATTCTGACATTTGAGAAGGATTGAAAGGAAAGGAACGGGAAAGGTAAATAGAGAGGATAGTCAGGTCACGTTGTGCAATTTTGACTTTGACTCCGACAACGTTAAGCGCTGTGCGGAGTGAGATTTGGTGATGCAAAAGATTATTGGAAATATAAAGCGCCGAGCCGCCTTGGCGTGGGTGAACGTTTACGTTATTAGTATATAGAGAGTAGTCCCTGATATTGTAATTATAGTTTATAGAGTCTGAATCCAAAAATCTGGTTTCCTGGATTGCGGCTACCAACGGTTTGTTATGCAAGATATAGTTTTTGAATTCAGCCCAGTGGTGTATTAGCGAGCAAGTGTTCCATTGAAGGAAGAATTCGGGACGGTTGTGATTCATGTTTAAAGATTAAGGCTGCGCACCGCCGAGCGAGTCAGACGGCGGTCTGTCGAAGAGGATCGCGACTGGGAGCGATTGTGAGACGCAGGACTCGTTTTCCACCATTCCGGCGCAGACTCTGGCCACTCGTCGTCAGTGTCGCTTGTACCAGAAGCCGCTGACGGGTGCGGCGCGCCTGACTTGGGCCTGGGGAGCGGCGGTGCCACCGGGTGCCTAATGTTAGGGCTGGCCGGGCTTGAGGTCGCGGTCGAGAGGTCTGACTCGCTGTAGTGCTCAGTCTCTGGGGTGGAGGGAACAATCGTCCGGTCAAGCACCGGGGAGGCTTCCGTTGATGCCTCGGAAAGGGAATAGTTTCCCTCGCGATCCGGGGACTCACCCGCTTTAGCAACCTGGGGCGCTGGGGTCGGTGGGTGTTCCGTGTGCGCGCTGGGGTCGGCCGCGGGGGACAAGGGCGTCTCGCTGGCTGTGGGCGCGCTGAGGGCCGACGCGGGCGTCTCGCTGTCGCTCGGGACCGCCGCAGGGGACGCAGGCGAGTCAGTGGTCTGTGGCGCGCTGAGGGCCGCCGCGGGGGGCGCTGGCGTCTCGCTGACCCAGCTCGGAAGGGCGAGCTCCATGGCCGGGCGCGTTCCGGTTCCGTCGTCTCGTTCGGGTGTGCGTGGATCGCGCTTCGCTGTCGAGCGGGACGAAATGAGTACAACATCGTGAGACTTTTCGTGAATCATAGATGACGCTAATGTACAGCAACCGCTGCAACTGTGAATGGAGCATATGGCTGGTAGGGACAGCACCTGCCATGCCGGACAGGCGTGGCAGGGACTGCCATGCATGCATCCATAAATATGCGTCTTTGACAGCTCATGTGACATGTAACATATCTTCAACGAATTGGATTCCATAGTCCGGTTCAGGTTGGTACGATCTGGTGTCAGTATGCATGTTACTAGCTTGATGTTCATCATTAAAGTTTATATGTTGGCCGTCTGCACCTCCGAGCTCTCGTCCTGGACTGCTCAACCATCTGTGGTTATGTTGTCCTGCGAGACAGCCCCGTCCCCTCCCTCCCTCTATGAACAAAGCGTGCCTTATCTCGGCTCGGCCTTGCCCGGTCCCCTCCCCCCCCCCCCTCCCTGGACTCGGGCCGCGCTCTCAGTTCTCTGCCGCGCCACGCCTCGGGTCTCCTCACACCCCTCTGCCCCGACCCTCCCTCCCCGAACCGACAATCATCTTCCGGCTCACCACGTTCGAGCCCCTGACAGCCAATAGGTTGGCCCCATTACTGATGAAGGTATCTTTCCGTGAGGATTACATTGGGTACTGAGATGTCACCATGACAAATAGTCCGACAGATACATCACATGAGTATATTTCCGTGAGAAAATTCGGAAGCGTCGCCGTGTCATTTTCGATGCTGTGTTCCAAGTATTCTTCGCAAAGGTATGTTTCCGTGAGGATTTTATGGGAGACTGGGATGTCACCATGAAAGACATCCCGCCAAATACACCATTAGAGTGTATTTCCGTGAGAAAATTCGGAAGCGGCCCCGTCTCTTTTCGCTGCTGTGTTCCGAATATTTTTTTCGCAATGGTATGTGTTGCTGTTCGGTTCGATATCGCGGCTCGCGGTTCACTCAATCGACACGCTCGCTGTCGGCTGTGGTTATATTCAGTCGTGCCAGGAAGAGGATTGTCGGGTCCTCTCCCTGGCGACACTCGTTGAACAACTGCTCGGGTTTGGACGCGGCCGTCGGCCCAGGACGGTGACAAGTGGCCCACACATGGCCTCACATGGCTCGGGCCGCCGATGGCCGGCCGGCCGGAAGCGACGAGGAGAACGGTTAACAGACAAAACATGCGTTGGGAGATAAATCAGAATCAAAAGTCAAGAGTTCACAGCACAGCCGGCATTTTAATAAGAACGGGAAACTCGTGACCAATTTGTACGGAACAGTTTGTTTCCGACCCGTGAGTTTTATAAGGGAGACAGAGATGTCACCACGAAAGGCATTCCGCCAAATTTACCATAGAAACACATTTCATTTCCGTAAGAATATTCGGAAACCTTGCCCTTTCTGTACATTTCTCTGATTATTCTTCGATAAAGGCATGGATGAAGTATACCTAATCCATGATAAAGGTATGTTTTCGTGAGGATTGTATGTGAGAACCCATTAGCGCTCAGTGTCCTCATGAGGACACCCGAAACAGCCAGACGTGGCGCACACCGGGTATATGTTAGACGGCTTAGAACCTCGCCAACGTGTCGAGAAGGTCTTTGTCGACCACCTGGGTCCCGTTATGTTTGTTTCCCTTCACCCTCTTGTATTTGATAAGCGCTTAAATTTAGCGATTTTCAGACATTGAGACCCTCGTCGGCTTATTTGGCTTCCATTCAACTGTGAACATAGTTACGTCCAAATTGACTCCACTCATTGCTCAACGGATTATGTTATACACATAATCGTATTCTCATCGGCCATTTCTAGAATTCTAGCGATCTGGAGAGCGCCAAATTTAGATGTCATCAAATGAGGACATTGGGCGGAACGGGGTAGCGGCGGGCCGGCCGGCCGCCGCGGCCGCCGAGGTGTGGGAGGGCGGGGCGGCGGTAAGGGGACCGCCGGGAATGCGAGGGGGTGACGCTATGGGGAGACCCCTGGGGTGTTCAGGGTGGGGTGGCAGTGGGGGGAGACTGGGAGGGGGGGGCGGAAGTGAGCCCTGAGACGCTAGCGTCAGTTTCCA